CATGTAACAGAAAGCAGGGCACATCAACATGTAACAGAAAGCAGTGCACATCAACATGTAACAGAAAGCAGTGCACATCAACATGTACATGTAACAGAAAGCAGTGCACATCAACATGTAACAGAAAGCGGAAGCCTGAAGTGTAGTGTAGAAAACCAAAGAAAACAGAATTTTCAATGTTAAGAATGTGGAATTTGTATTTTAGACAACGGGAAACTTAGGACATTAGGTGTAGGTTAGTGATTTGTGAGTTACTTCAACTGTAAGCCATCCTGACACTTACACAGGTGAAGGTACTTGTACATGTAATTCCATGTATTTAGCTACAGGAATATAGAACCTGCATTTTATTGCTGGAAGTTAGACACATACATGTTCCTGTTTGTTTCACATGGATGTGGATCTCAATAAGTGATCCAAACACTGGTTCACATTGTCCATTAATGCAGGTTCTGGTGTCAGTGAACCAACCGCAGATTACTGATGGAGATTCAGTTCCATGTGAAACAAAGAGGCTTACAATTTACATACACAGTCATGTCATGGATATCAGCAGCGACTGTACAGGTGCCTACAAGTCCAGGCACATATTTAACTCTCAAAGAGTCTTATCTTTTTGGACCATCAAGCAGCAGGGAAGGGGGGGAATTCTGACCCCTCCCCCAAGAACTCTGCTGTCACATACCTGATCAATTGAACCTTACCAGTAGCTTGCATATACATGTAGACACTTGTCTGTACAAATGTCAAGTTTCAATTTTGGTTTTGGTGTTGCTGTCATTTGAAGTTCATGCTCTGAGCATGCAATTGACAAATTCTGGATTTTTGGCGGACATCGCTGGGAAAATTGTGCACTGCACAAGACCAGCATGTTTGATTTTTGCAAAATGGGTGTCAGAATGATGACAAAATGTCACTCTAAAATCTCTGAATGGCCCGGGGTGGGAAAAGCATGCCCTTGTGACAATACTGAAGAAACAGTTGAGGGAGTAGGATTTGCCCCTCCCCCCTCCCCCAGCTCTTTTTGAGCTAAGAATCACTTTGCAACATCTGAAATATCCAACCGCAGAAAGTGAGAAGTCTGATGAATCGGCTCAGGATGCACCCCTACATGTAGCAAGTAATCGTAGAGGAGGACGGAGGGGTAGGCGGGGCAGAGGTAGACGAGGGAGAGGAGGCCACAGGCAATCAGGTAAGTCCAATTGTGTACTCATGATGTCCCATGTGCAGACAACATGTTCAAGTCCCAATAGGACAAGATAGTGTAACCAAGTGTTATATGTACATGCAAAATATAAGAAATGTTCTCTATTTCACGTGATCAGTTTTTTTAGTGTTGTCTGCATTGTACATGTATCTCTCAAAATCAAGCCCTGGCTACATGTACATGTACTGTCAGACCTTGAAATTGGATTGTTAACATAACTTTACAAAAGGCAGTCATACCGTTACATGTACGTGATTCATTCTCCTTGAGAACACGTTGGATAATTGAAATGTGCATCAACTGGCAGTTTTTGTTCTGAAAACACAGTGCATCATTATGGGAAGTGTAATGTTGCAAGGGAAATTTGCTAATTTTATCCCCAATGAGAATCGTCAATATTCGGTACAGATCTTCCTTGATCTGTCACGATTCCTGAAATTTCATGAGCTATTTTTTTTGGCCACAAGGTAAACTTTACATGTTCCAGCTTCTCTGCAGCGTGGGATACCGGTAAATCAACAAATACATGTAGAAGTGCATGTACATATGTATGAAAACCTAAATGATTCCAAAGTTTTTTCCATCATTTACCTTAAAATTACTCAGCTATGCCACAGCAAAAACTGGTCCCATCAGAGTGATTTTTTCAGATTTTGTTTTTAAAGTCAGTGGTGCTCAGTCACCCTTGACTGCAGTTATGCAAGTACACACAGCAAAGCTGATCGTTAAAAGTTAACTCCAAGTTGATGAAGAATTTCCGTACATTATTTAAACATTCTTGATACAAAAATGGTAGTGTGTGGTGATGAATGATGATAGACTATAGTCCTGTTGACCCTAAAATTGTGGATTTTTAAGGGGCTTTATCTTTTAGGATTTCCACTGTACACAAAGTCACAAGTGTAAGAACTGAAATCATTATGGCGATTTGAAAGAGCTGTTGGCTATTAACCCCTTGACGATGGGAATTTCTTCCTGAAAGCCGACTCCAAGAATTCCAGCCTCGCTTGGCCACGAAGGCCACCTGCCAAACCGCAAATTCTCGGTTTGTGGCCCTGCTTGCTCTGCACACTCTGAATTACCCGGTGAAAAGGCTGGTTGTTCGATGGCATGCGGCTCTACTCACCCTTCCACATTCCGGTTGCCTCTTTTCAAAGTGGGGACTATTGTGAAGCTGGTGATTGTGATGCAAAATCGGTCTTTTCATTTCTGGGCTACGCACAAAGACCAATTACCATACGTACAAGAGCCAGGGTCTGCCTTCTTTCACCGTGTTTGCTCGAGCGTTGGGCCGAGAATAATAGCTGAAAAGCGGGCTGAGGATCTCAATTTTTACGGCGGCTCTAGCCACCTCCCGGTGTGAAGGGGTTAAAGGCCTTGAAAATTTGCAGTCAGTTTTTATCATTGTTGCAACCCATGTTCTGGCTAATACAGGTTTTTCTTCAACCCCCGATATCTCATCCTTGATTCAGAAAGCAAGGAATCAGATGATTCAGACCAGGACGTTCAACTTAGACACAGTCAAGGACAGAGGGAAGGGCGGGGCAGAAGTGGGAGAATGAGGGGAGGTGAAAGAAGAACAAGTAAGTGCAGTACAAACCTACACTGTCCATTTTCAATCCATTATGAGCAACTTTGGAAATCTAGGATAGAGAGCTTCATGAAACTTGGGTGACCAAGTCCAACAACGACTTCAGTATTATGTTGGTTCCAAAAATCACCGATGTCCATCAAAATACTAGAGACGTACATGTGCATACAGAAAGTTTAATCATATCAGAATCAGAAATTTCAATCGTACCTGTTGCGTGGTTTACACTTTACTCTGCAAAAGTTTGTTAATTTGTCCACTTTGAGGTAATTCATGATGTTTCAACAAGCTTAGGGCATTCACTTGCTGACAGACAAAAACAAGTCAGTTCTGATGTGCCTGTCCATTATACATGGCAACAGGAGATGGGTTCATGTTTATGCTTATGTTTCGTGCGGCACGTAGAGCTTGTCTATGACACCACCTAAATGACCTAAACTGAAAGTTTTTTTTAAATGAAATTAATTAAAAAAACAAACTGAATTTGTTTGTTTTGTGTTTGTTTAAATTGTTTTTTATTCATTTGTTGTTTTTTAATTATTGTTTTTCATCCCAATGAAGAAGTGGATCTCTCAAGCGACAATGACGTTGAGGAGATACCCGACTTTCGGAAAGCATCCTGCCTGGGTGAGACACCGAAATTGATAATTGGAGTCGACAAAAATGTTCATTCACATTTGGTAGTTTTGTTTTCCACGTGAAGACATAATTCATCAATACTTCACACAATAGGATGTTCTCTGACATTATTCTTCCGACAGTAAGTAAAGTAGGGCCATGTTACCAGCACAGTGTGGTTTACTGAATACTCAGAAATACACACTGTAGACTTGAGCTACAAATTGAGAAAAATTTGCACTCGACATGTGCACTCAATGCATGCGCTCAACATGTGCACTCGATGCATGCGCTCAACATGTGCTCTCCATGCATGCACTCAACATGTGCACTCAATTGGTTTCATTTAACAGTGCTCATTAATTGTTGACATTTACCCATTTTGGGGGCATTGTGTTACAGATGCTGCTGATCGAAAGACACATACGGCACAGATTGCATTGTGGGAAGCTCAGTTTCAACAGCTGAGTTACGCCAAGTGCCCTTATTGCTACTGTAGACGAACCCAGATGAAGTCCATCCTCAACCACTTCAAATTGTGTTCATCTAAGAGGGTGAGCTTGAAAAACGAACTGTCCCCATGAGTATCAGAAAAGATCCTGTTCAACAATCCCTCAGACTCCGTAGACTTTGTGGTTTTTCTCACCAGGACTTTTGTCACTTTAAAAGCTTGCGTCTATCCGCTCAGAGCGGGAACAAGAGAGGGGGTGTTTATATACAGTGTACAGTGACAGTCCTGGGAACTCACCGCGTGTCCGCGCGGGGAAAGATTTCTTTTGTGTGGTAGGTGCAGGATGTGCTGAGTGCAAAGGATCAATTTCTGTTTGAATGCGTGGTCACTCTTGCGCACTGTGTGCATTTCACAGACTTAGTTGAAAAACTTCCCTCCAGCCTGTCTCTTCTTTGCCATTGAGGGTGCACTTCGGCTCGGAGTGAATAGCGTAATTGCTGCTAGAACAATGATGAAATCATGTGACAGGCCTGCAATGGTATATTTTGCAGGCTCATATTTGTTTTACTCCAAGTCCAGCTTATTTCAAACTTGGCAGGTACCTGGACTGGGATGTGTCATGATGATGTCATTGCCGAATTCTTTAGGAATGAATTTTTATTTTTGTCATTTTATCATTCTTTTTCAAAACTCCTGAGCGAAACAAATTACTTCCAAAATTCATTGTGTAAGACCTTGATAACCCAAGTACATATACAGTACGTGTATGTCAGTGCAGAATTTTGTGAAGTCATAGTTGTGTAAATCAGGATTTTTATTCACGCTCTAGGCAGAAAGTGTCGTGCCCTGAACACATAATTTGTGAAACTGTTCTCGTTTTGAAATCAGTTGAAGATGTTTTCTTCAACAGAAAAAGAATCAATTGCCAAAACTAGGAACAGGATAAGATACACGTACTGAGATCAGTTGATTCCCTGCTGACAATATGGCTGTATGCCACTCATCCTTATCAAATGATTACTTCATTTGAGCAAGTAAATTCATTCCCATTTCTTCTATTTTCTTTTGAGGACACATCTACAGCTTCTTCACTGAGCTCTTGAACTGTTTGGGGGTAATTCCAGAAATTAGGGGTCCATTTTTTTTTTGTGTCCCTGTCACATCTCACATATCATTTGGTAAGTTCAGAACACATTTTCTAATTTCTAAGAGCACTTGATGAATTAATGTAAATACCTGCCAAACAGATAGTAATAGTTTAAAATCACTTCTGGTGATATTTCCATGTCAAATAACAAAGGTCAGATGTAACAGGGACACAAAAAATCACACTTTTGGACCCCTGATTTCTGGAATTACCCTTTTCTAATGTTGAAATAAATACAGGTCTTGAAATGTTTTCCTTTTTCAGCCTGATTGCTACTCCTGTCGTCATTGCAGTAAGGAATTCCAGTCGGCAGCGGGGTTGAAGTATCATCTGATGGCTGCACACGGCGACACGGTATAGCCTTTCAGGAATAATAAAAATAATAATTTATTAATTTATAGAGGGCAGATTTTATACAGATATGTTCAAATGCGCTGAACAATGAAAATATTAAACGCGGTCGAGCCAGTGGCATACAAGGGCACATCGGGCAGCCACCAAGCGACCCACATCCGCCCACATCTGTAGAGAGGAGACAATAAGAATCGGTTACAGTTTTAGAGGTGGGAGGAAAACCCCAGAGAAGAAATTTCTGGGTTAAACCCACGGAATCAGGTAAGGACTGAAAACCCAATCTACATATTGACCAAGCGGGGAATCGAACCCGGGCCCCAGAGGTGAAAGGCAGGGAAAGGACTACATGTACTTCGCTATTTAACCCGACTCCCCAAAAAGTAAAGTTTTCTCCTTCGAAGGAGACTTTTTCTTCTTTTGATTTGATAAATTATGTAAAACTTGATGTATGTGTGTATATTCAGAAACCCTTCTCCACCTGATCTGATTGTACATGTATGTGCATGTCATGTGATCATGCTGTTAGCCATTTACTCGATAGATATGATCTACTGTTGCTTTTACGTGCATGATTCCACAGAGTAACCAAGCAGGAAGCTCAGAGAATGCATCAGAGTCCCCTCAGCCTAACCATGCAAATCTCCCCTTAATGTTGCGCAAGTTGGGCAAACTCACCTGTCGCAACGAAGGCTGTGGCAAGACCTTTACAACCGTAAACGGCTTCCTTTACCATCGGAACATATGTGGCAAAAAAGGCACAGATGCACAGTTCAAGTGCGAACTATGTGGTAAGTAGCACAGAAACCTTGGGAATAAACCACCCTCGCTGCTTCGCATAGCATACTGCTGTCTTTTGAAATAAATGTGGGATCTACAAATTAGGCCTTGAAAACAGCATTACTTCATTCTGCGCAGACTGTACCAGCAACTAATTGTTATTGTGAAAGGATGTCGCCAGACAGGCTAGAGGCCGTAACCAGACATTTGTCCGTAGGTTTTTGCATGTTACGAGGCAAAAACCAATAGTCTTCAGTGCAGGCAACATGACAAAAAGTGACGTGATGCTTGACTCTTGATGAGATCCATGGACCAAAAGGTTTAATACCAAACGTTCATTCTCATCCGTGCTGAGAGACTTAAGATAATTAGGTGAATGTTGAAGAATAATTCATGGATATCTTCATTTGTTTTGAATACTGAGTGTGTACAGGTTTCACTCGATTTTCCATCTGATACTTAGGCCCTCAATTAAACTAAGGGTCCCTTCTGTATACTCCTCGTTAGTCCTTTCTTGTAATTTTGCTCACCCAGATTGCAAGCTGCCCTAAAGAAGTGGCAAAATAACAAGAACTCTAAAAGACTACTTTAACCCTAACCATGCTAAATCCAATGATACCCAACCGTGGACAATTTCTGTGGGATTTTGTTGATATGAGCAGTGAACAAGAGGCCTTTGGTTCTAGCTGTTAGATTCTGTCAGGTTCAGCGTAGCAGGGTGCAAAGACAAAACCCGAGGGGGGTTGGGGTTAATACGTACACTGAAGCACAAATGATCCTTAAATGTAGTTTGGAGACATGTGTGATATTGTTTGTGCATCCCTCACTGTGGCAAAATGGACAGATAAAATGTACCACAGTAAGGCCGGTGTGTCTTATCACATGAAGACATCCCACGCTCCACCTCCTGAGGAGACAGTGCCCTCCAAGACGCCACCAGAGCAGAAGGACGAGGGAGGAGGTAGGAGCAAGCGGAAAGCTGCTCAGAGGTAAACCTCTCCAAGATTACTTGGAATGTTGCCGCACGACACAAACTATAGCCAAGTCAGAAAGGTGACATCTCAGTGTTTATTTCTTTGAAAAAACAAAAGGCGTGATTTGGGACTGTGAAGTAAAATTGCGTGGAACATTTACATAGCCACAGTGTTACTGGATAGCAGTGTTGTAGATTTTTGATTGACAATAGACCCTGTAAAAATGTGTCAGATTATCACCCTTACCTCGAGCCACTTTACCCACCTCACTTTTTTCCAAAGACTCTACAAAATTACCCCCCATAGGACTTGTGATAGATTTTCTCAGTGGTCCATTGGGTTATGCACTTAATGACTACCGTTCAGCAACATCCGAAGTGTCATACCTACGTGGGTCAGTCTATAAATGTGTCCGGTGTGTGACATTTTTGTGCCCCTGTGACACCTGACTTGTGTAATTTGACGAGGGATGTATCATTGGAGTTAACTTTGAACTGTTTTTTATTAGTTAAGCAGGTAATTTGCATCACCTGATCATTCTTGTACAGGAAAGAATGGGAGCTGAACTTACTAGATCGTTGGCTAGATGTAACGGGTACAGGACAATATTAGACCCCAAAGTAATAGAATGACTCACATGTACTTCACCACACCTGGTCTTGAATAGCTAATGTAATGAATTTACAAATTGTAGAAAGCATGCAACAGTTAGCTCATTATCAAAGACCACATTCAATGAATCAGCGCAAGATTTGTAGCAAGATACCGGTAGTTTCTCTGGTGTGCAACTTCATTCCCATCATGCCGAATTCACACAAATGACCTCTCGCATTGTACCAGTATATAATGGACTTGATTTTTCCATTGTGAGCTTATTTACTTGTCGAGCCCCTTGCAATCACAGGGAAAGTTTGCCAAGCTTATGATCTCTTTGACAGAAAACCGGATGGCTGTTTGGTTGAATGTCATGTGACCAATTGATGTTCACAGATAGAGTACAGTGTACATGTGAATACAAAGCCATATGATGTAAGACCAGTGGTCATGGACAGATTAGGTGTAAATTCTTTCCTGCAGGGCCTTGTCCTCCATGCATGAATTGACTCAGAATTTGATGGAATCGAGCAAGGAGGGTGAAGGAAGAAGGAAGGACAGAGCCACTAATGACCACAGACAGAAAACCAAGGTATAGCATGTATAGTGTCTTCAGCATTACCGCATGTTTGTTTTGAGAAATGGTGAGATCTGCTCTGTGATCGTTAATTATATTGCACTCAGATGTTCCATTTCTCTGGCGTACTGCTTTTTGGAATCCAGTTTTACACAGGATGTTATAAGTTCTTGGTTTGAGTGGCTGATGGTGTAGCCCTCCGATATGAAGCTATTGAGACAGTGCGGTTATCCTGTTATCACGTTGTGATTGACATTTCACATTATATACTTGTGGAACTGCACTGATGTTTTAGCTGAGCTAGTATTTTTAAGAAGAATTTATGCAAAGAAAGGTTTAAGGGGCCGGCAGCTACACCGGTGCCCATCATCAAGGGGCTTTCAATGGCTTCCGCATCTCAGCACCAGCTGTACACTGTGCTCAGAATTTGCTCTTCCAGTGCTTTGTTAATATTAAGGACCGGTTCATACATTTACTTCAGGCAAATCCCCAAATCACAGCGAATTAGACGTCACAAAATGTTAGCAGGGAAATTTGATTTGAGTTCAACCTTTATGGATTCGCAACACACACATATACCAGTACTTAATCTTACAGCACCAAAATTGTGGTTCGCGCTCAGGCCAACTATGAGCCTACCTTAACAGTACTCTTCACACCAAGAGTCAGCCACAGGACAGGTGGTGTAGCTTAGACTACGGCGGTTTTTTGAAACAACACATAATATGTTCATTTTGACAGAAAAAGAAAAGCAGTTTAGAAGACAAGGACTCCGGCAGTGATGGGGAGTTTACAGATTGCCATTTTCAGGAGGACAGCGAAGATTCAATTATCTCTGAGGATAGTGATAGTGACGTACCTGTAATGTCAAGGGGTGAGTGAAGATTGATCTCGTCATTTGTTGAGTGACCTTAATGCAGTAAAAAGTAAATCAGGGCTTTAATATGACCACTGCATACATGGACATGATACATACATGGACACTGTAATGTTGCTTGACATACAAATACATGTAATGTGGTCTTTTTCTGAACATAAATTTGTTTTGCAACATACGTGGTAAAATGTGGTATGAGTGACGCTACACTGTGTTTCATGAAATAGGCTGCTGGACTCACTTCTGGCTAATACATAAAACAAGCCAATCCCCATTTGGTTTGTACACACATGTTAAGTCCAAGAAGTCTGTGGAAGCGGACTTGATGTTGAGCACAGTGAACTTGGCTGCCTGCATATAGCCTGTTGTGGTAGCAAATACCATGCTGTAGGTGCTTGTGGATTCCTCGCTCGTGCATTCTTTGCTGGCAGAGAGCTCATCAGAAACAAATTCAATTAATCTTTCTACTTGAAGCAGAGACTTCAACCCTCAAACTCCTGCTTACTTGTATGGACTTCTGAACCTCTCAACCGCCACACTGGTCAGGTTAAATTGTTCGTTGGAATTGATACAGTTTGTCATATGGCTTGTTACCATTTTGTCAATGGCTGTTGTTTGTCATAGTGATTTTCCATCAAATCCATTTACTTGAAGTTATTTTCCTGTATAAATTTCTTAGCATGATGTCCGTTTAGCTTGAAGACACAGATTCTTTTTCCAAGACATAAAGATATTGCTTTTGAGCAAGATATTGTACATGCGACAAACACATTTAAACTAAGGCACCAAGTCAGTGCATGTCGTACCGCTTCCTGTGCAGCAGCGGACTGAAACGTTCATCACTTTGATTAAGTTTGAGACATTACACATGAAGAAAACACTACAGAGAATTTAAGACTGTGTAACAAAACAACTATGATGTGGGACATGATGTTTTAACACCCTCTTGGATGCATAGCACCCTCAGATTTACCTCAGATGCAGTGAGATCTTTGAGTGTTAAAAATCACATCTCACATCATCATATTCAACGATTGTTAATTACCATTGGGGATTTCAGTACCCTCTCAAATGTTAAAATATATCCCACATCATGACAGCAGTCAATAATTAATAAAAATGTTCAGGTTTGCCCATGTCAATATATATATTTGAATTAATTGTTTTCTGTTTGATATAGAAAGGCGACACGTCAATTATAGACACCCTTCAATCAAAGAACTCATACCTGTGTTTATAGAAATGGCTCACTCAGAGTAAGTAGACCAATGATGAAGTAGAGTAGACCTATGATTAACCCTAACCCCCTAGGCTCCTGCACTAGAAAGCATACTGAACCTCAC